TTCTTCTCTCGGCCGGATGATCGTTAGTTTGTTTGTTCAGAGGTAAAATAAGACCTTCAACAAAAGGAATTTTAAACTTATCTATTTTATGAAACACGTAGACGTTTACATTTGTAATTAGCCAGTGGAGTCGCTCTATCACCTCCACTGGGGAGCAAGTTCTCCAGAAAACGAAATAACCACGTCTAATCTGTATGACGTGTAAAAACCTAACTCCTCGAAATCACTTTCTATCTCTCTGACATTCCCACGTTCGGCTCAGCCAACCAAAATCGGGATTATTATTTTGTCTACCATCTAATCTTAAAGGTTAGAAGTTTGAACCAAAATACATTGCCACTAAAAATAATTGTCCGAAACTATTATTTAACAGTAATAAATACACAGAAGAAACTGTTTTCGAACTGAAATAAATTCTCTCACTTTATTCAATATTCCTGTTTGAAAATGGGGGTCGGCATCTTTTTTTTTCCCCCGAAAGATTCATAAATTTCTAATGTTGTATGGCTTCCTTCTTCTGGAGTTCTCTTTAGCGACGGGGTCGATTCCGTTTACGACGCTGCATTCTTCTCTCTCTTCTTCCGGTCAGGTGATCGCTAGTTGGTGTGTACAGAGGTAAAATGAGAACTTCAACAAAAGAGATTTTAAACTTATCTGTTTTACTGAGCACGTTGACATGTACATCTTCTAACTAACCAGTGTGGTTGCTATCCTACTTCACTGGGGAGCAATTTTCCATCCACGAAATTAACACGTCTGCATTCTTCGACGCGCAAAACTTAACTCCACGAAAAAAAAACAGAGCTAGAAAGTTATTTAGAAAGATAGAATGCTATTTAGAGAGACAGAAAGAAATGTTAAATTTCTCAGCCAATCAAAATCGACATCCTTATTTTTCTACCATTTGACAAAGGTCAGCCTCAGAAGGTCTTAGCCAAAATACACTGACAGTAACAATAATAGACTGAAACAATTATTTAGCAGTTCCATAGGTGGGAAGTGCGTGAAAAACATCTAGAACAAAACCGATGGTTGAATATAGCTCGTTCAACATTACTACGAGGACACGATTAATTTCATCCGGTCGGAGTACCAAGGGAAAATCTAATCGAAATGGTGGCCATAAAAATATCTGTAAAAAAAAAGGCAAAGGGAAGTCACGTCAAGTCGGTGGGGAAATGACAGATACATAGATGTCTGTTCAGGATCGCATAGATGAAAAATTTAAAAAAAACACTTTTCATCTTTTACTTTAATGAACTGTTTCGACTTCTTCTTCAGTAGAAGAGAATCTTCTATCGCGCACGGAAAGTACAAACAAAATGAAGGTTCACCGTCATGCATAAATCACTATTCCGATTTAGGCATTCTAAGCAATCTATCTATCTCATTTTACTCATAAACCTCAATTCATTTGTATCAATTTCAAACTGCTCTCACATGCACACGCGTACTTACAGAAATCGCCTGAAGATACCAAAAGGTTGAAACCAAGGTAGCGGAATTGGCTGATTTCCTAATTTTCTATACTTAAAAGCTCTACATGATAAATTTTAAACATTTATATATGTATTGATCACTTTTGAATGCTACTGTTTCCTAGTCTAAATCAACTCTGACCATTAACTTCTTAATTATATATATATATATATATATATATGCATACATGCAAACACACACACACACACACACACATATATATATATATATATATATATATATATATATATATATATATATATATATATATATATATATCGTCATACTGTTTGAAATTTTCAAATTTATTATATATATTGATTAATATTGTACTATAGGGAAGAACAGGCTCTCCATCTCTGCTTAGTGCCAAGTCTGGGAGAAAGACAATTCTGAATTTAAACCCCATTGGATGTGGCTCTAACCTCACTACCTCATACAAAAAAAACTACTTGCTACTGAAAACACAGTAGCCAAAAGTTAGCCTAATGAAGCTGTATCGATATATTTTTTATTAGTGTAGGCATTTCTCTATCTTGCAGAATAAAAGTAGCACCCTGTTTTGTCAAAATTTAGTCTTTTGGTGAGGAGAATAGTACGACTTCTCCAGAGCGTAGTCCTGTGTGGTGGTATATTGAGGCCGTGCGCTGCTCAGACTACATGGTGCAACTCTCGGCTGTACCGACAAGATCCAACGGAATACAGTGCATTACTTTTGGCCGGTTTGTCTGCAACAGTTGCCGGAAAGTTGACATGGTCGACACCCAACCGTCTTCTGACCTGCACACCAGATTATCTTCCTGAATTTACTTTCATAGACTATGTACGTGTTTCGATATGACCGCAAGGCAGTGGAGGCCTAAAATCGGCGTTTTCCTACCTCTAGATGCATTACATTGATGGGTTTTCGAGTTCTATCTCTTCTAAGTAGCTGGTTATGAGGCGCTAGTTGCCCGCCTTCGCCGATTCCCCGGCTATTTGAAACAAATTCCACGGAACCATCTTATAGACACCCCCCGCCAGGCTATGACAATCTTTGTAATATATACCGGACCCTAAAAGAAACAATTGTTTTTTATTGGGGATGGGAGTCAAAAATTTAGAATTTAGCCTAAATTATCAAAGGCTGCCACCATGGTTAGCGGCAAGAACATTCGAAATTTCCAGTACCCCTTGCTTTAATAGATTTTTTTTCTTGTATTTCTTTCTTTATTGTATTTTAATAAATAAAACCCTGTAAGAAATAGCACAATTAATAAAAGATTTAGGGTCCCCACTCCGACAGCTATAGGCCTGATATATACTGTAGGTATATTATAAAATATAGTATATTAATCGATAGTATATATATATATATATATATATATATATATATATATATATATATATATATATATATATATTGTCATCCACAGAAAGACTGTTTCGCTGTATAACAGATCATCATTGTGGCTAGGCGTCCGGTTGCCTCTAGCTGAACTCGAAACCCGACTGAATTGGCGTATGTAAGAGATTCTACCTCTAAGCTGTTGGCGCACGGCAGGCATGGAGGTGAATTTAAATGTATTTATTTTTAGATAAATAGAGAGAGACTGAGAGAACTTATTTTGAAAAAGAAAAAAGAAACAATGAAAATATAATCGCTATTTAAGCCTAAAATATTTAGAGATTATGAAGTCATGATTGAGTAAAATAGTTTATTTATATATATATATATATATATATATATATATATATATATATATATATAATACAATATATATATATAATATATATAATATATGTATAATACAATATATAATATATATATATATATATACAATATATATATATATATATATATATATATAATATTGTATATATATATATATATATTTATATTGTATTATACATATATTATATATATTATATATATATTTTGTATTATATATATATATATATATTATATATATATATATATATATATATATATATATATATATATATATATATATATTATAATATATATAATATATATTTATTAATAATAATATTAATATATATATATATATATATATATATATATATATATATATATATATATATATATATTTATATATATATATTATATTTGAGTTCTCTGGGTAGGAGGTGTGAGTTTGTAAACATTTACTATTATTAATATATATATATATATATATATATATATATATATATATATATATATATATATAAAAATAATTTTCGGAATAACAACTGAGACATTACTCTATTTATTGAACAATTTAGTTCATGCCACATTGGCCGAAAATCTCCTACAATAAAGAAATTCTCAAATTACCTTATTAGTAAAAAAAAGAACGCACTCTCAATTTTCAAAAACATTCAACCTTAGCGTTGCGACTGCACTCTCCATAAGTTTTTATCCATTAACAATAACACTTTTCTAAACATATTTCGATTCGCATTTAATCTTACGTCTCCAATGCTGCCTGGATTTACTAAAAACAAAATAATTTCCATGCCTGAGGATGGCTGTATGTAGAGTTGAAAGTACTAGCAGAATAAAAAATGACCTTCTACAGCTTGTAATTATTAAAAACAAGGATCATACCATTCATCGAGTGGTTCGTAGGTTAATGCAACTTTAAAAATTTGTTTGCAAAGATTTTTCGCCATTTTATATCATTAACTTTACTAATCTACTTTTTGTATTAATGATTCATTGTAATATATATATATATATATATATATATATATATACCCAAATATAGGATTAGTGCTTACGGAATAGATTCTAGTAACAAAAAAAAATACTATTCTTAAAAGAATGCGCAATACAAAGTAAAGCAAATATAATCATTTATTCGAAAATTATAACATAAACATGTTATAAAATCACTACAAAAATAGCCATTTTGTTTCAACACTTCTGGTGTCTTATCAAGTGATGGTGTTGAATGTCTCTCTCTCTCTCTCTCTCTCTCTCTATATATATATATATATATATATATATATATATATATATATATATATATATATATATGTTTATATACTAGCTTTTTGACAGTATGAACACCTTTAACTATCAATTAGTAAAAATGACAGGTGTAGTAAATGCAAATTTGATCTTCATATATATCATAGATCTATTTTCAGTTTTCATTGATCTTCTTTTTTTTTTTTTTTCATATTAATCTACTTTTTTTCTTGAAAGTCATGACGACAGCTTCTGGTTAGTGATGAATATTTTCGGAGTAGCAATGAATCGAATTCGTTTAGCTTATTGGTCTCTCTATGTATACATGTCCATCAGACTCGCTAGCTATATTGGTTCTGTTTAATTCTACCAATCTATAATGGTTTTCTATTTCGAAAGAACGTGCCACTGACACATCGCGTTGCGTGATTAGAAGAGATTGTTTTAGCGTAATTGGTAATTTTGATCGATGGGTATTTAATTCTGTCTTTGAACACATTTGCAAGCTATCAATTTATCTAGCTAGATCTCTAGCTAGTTTAAATTGTTCATAATCTATCTGATGCTATTCTTATCTATCTATCTATCTATCTATCTATCTATCTATCTATCTATCTATCTATCTATCATTGTAACTCTCTGTCACTATATTCTAATATTAGTATATACCCATCAATTTGTCTCTCTATTTTCTATCTCTGTCTCTTTATACGCATATATGTTTTTTTTTTCAATATATTCCAGTCTATCTATCTATCTATCTATCTATCTATTTGTAACTTCCTATACCACTATATACTTATTTAAGTATATTTCAATAAATCTCTGTCGTCTCTCTCTCTCTATACACATATATATTTTCTTTTCCGTATATTCAAGTCTATCTATCTATGTATCCTATATATGTATGTATGTATGTCTGTAGATATGTAATTTTTTTTTCAAACAGTTGATCAGGCTACATGGTGCAGGTTCTCTCGGTAACAGCGACTAAGGTACGCTCAGTGTAGTTGCAGCAGAAAACCACTGTGAGTGTTGAACTAAACAAATGTAACTGAGCAGGCGTTTGCAACGGGGATTGACTAGCTGCTCTAGCAGACAGGCATACTCCGATACGAGCAGCCAGCCATTATTTTGTTTCTATCTATCTATCTATCTATCTATCTATCTATCTATCTATCTCTATGTCTAATCATTATATATCTATCTCTCTATATGTCTATCTATCTATCTTCGTCTATCTATCTATCTCTCTATGTCTAATTATCTATCTATCTATCTATCTATCTATCTATCTATCTATCTATCTATGCCTAATCATTATCTATCTATCTATCTATCTATCTATGCCTAATCATTATCTATGTCTAATCATTATCTATCTATCTAATTATCTATCTATGTGTAATCATTATCTATCTATCTGTTTCTTCGCCTATCTATCTATCTATCTATCTATCTATCTATCTATCTATTTTTGTTCGCCTATCTATCTATCTATCTATCTATCTATCTATCTATTTATCTATGCCTAATCATTATCTATGTCTAATCATTATCTATCTATCTATCTATGTCTAATCATTATCAATCTATGTCTAAACATTATCTGTCTATCTATCTGTCTATCTTCGCCTATTCTATCTATCTATCTATCTATTTATCTATGCCTAATCATTATCTATCTATGTCTAATCATTATCTATCTATCTATCTATCTATCTATCTATCTATCTATCTATGTACAATCATTATTAATCTATGTCTAAACATTATCTGTCTATCTATCTGTCTATCTATCTAATTATCTATCTATGTCTAATCATTATCTATCTGTTTCTTTGCCTATCTATCTATCTATCTATCTATCTATCTATCTATCTATCTATCTATCTTCACCTATCTATCTCTCTATCTATGTCTAATCCTTATCTATCTATCTATCTATCTATCTCTGTTTGTTCGCCTATCTATCTATCTGTCTATTTATCTAGCTATCTACATATATATCTGTCTATGTTTATGTAATCATTATCTATCTATCTATCTATCTATCTATCTATCTATCTATCTATCTTCGTCTATCTATCTATCTCTCTATCTATGTATAATCAATATCTATCTATTAGGTTGGTGCAAAAATAATGACGTAATAATGTCGTTTTTTGACGTATTTTTTAACGTCAAAAACGACATTATTACGTCATTATTTTTGCACCAACCTAATATCTATCTATCTATCCTAGTCTGGTCATAATTCAAACAATTCCTATCTATTTCACTGTCTATATCTCTATTATGACCAATTTACCTCAATTTGCACACATTTCAGCTTTCATAAAAATAACATCGGTAAAATGCTGATTGAGATTAAGTTTTCCTTCTCCATATAATTAACGTCAAAAGGTAAAATTTGAAGCTGAGCCTCCCTGTCTCCTAAACAATTTTAATGTATAATTTCTATCAAGTCGCCACTCCCGTTGTGGTCTTTTAATAAAAAGTTTCAGTCAGAAAGTTCTTCCTCAGCTTTCCAGACAATTTTAATCTGCAAAAATTCAAATGCAATATCATTTATTATTGACTGTTCACCTGATTGCATTTATTTAGCAATGTTTTTGTTTCTAAATCTTCTACCCCGAGTAACCCGTTGTGCCTCGGTGATTTTACTGCCTTGCATGGGATAAACTCGATTAAAAAAAAAACAAAAAACAAAGATCTGTTGCTTTGTGGACAAAAGTCCTCAAAGCATCCTTACATGACAACCACACTATCTCGATCTTGTAAAATCCAAAGGTCAACCGATATCTACCCTACACATCCTGACAATGCTAACTTCATAACCCCCACTCCACTTACAGCACTTTCACTCAGTAAGCGTCTAGTGTGAGTTGGCCTTGGGCCTTAGACTCGGTGAACTAACAATATGTCATGGTGCCTATCTAGACCGACAGAATGAACTCTTCCGAACGATATATATATATATATATATATATATATATAGATAGATAGATAGATAGATAGATATATACTACGTCTCTCAAGAGAGACGAAGGGTATTAGTACGGTATTGAATCGAGTCGAGCTGATAGCAGTCACGCCAAATCAGTCGAACAGTCTTACTAACCTTTTCACTTCTTGTATTATTTCTTGTGTAATATATTCTTTGTTATTTCTACTGTTGTGTTTCGTATTGTTCTTCCATGGACCTAACCTTGGACCATAACACAATATTAAAAACAGCTCATTTAAGCGCAGGGAGACTTTCTCTTTCTGGGGGATTTTACCATATATTCAATAAACATGCAATTATTATTATTATTATTATTATTATTATTATTATTATTATTATTATTAACTGATGATCTTAAAATGTTTGCCAAGGATGACAACCAGCAGAAAAAACCTAATCACCATTGTCGGAACCTTCAGCAAAGACATTAGGATGGGGTTCGGAAGCGACAAATATACCAAAGCCAAATTCAAAGGTGATAAACTAACGAAAACTACAATTTTACACCTTGATATCAACAACAAGATTAAGGGTCTAGGTACATACAAATGCTTCGGAATTAATGAAGGAGACGGAATACAGCATTCATTTAAAAAAGAAAAGATCCGAAAAGAATATTAAAGGAGAGTGAGTTTGAAACTAGAAAGTGAACTAAATGAAGCCAATAAAAGAAAGGCTATCAACACCTTAACTATACCCGTAGTAAAAATACAGCTTCAACATTATTAAATCGAAGTGGAATATTGGACGGCAATACAAGAAAAAATGCTTCCCGAAATGAGGATGCACTAACCACGACAGTCGAATTGGATGCATAATCCCTGTGCCACGCCAGGAAATTTTTCTCCCCGGAATCGATCCTCCAGATCTACAAATCAACATATCACCCTTGCATGGAGTATTGCTGTTTGCCTCGGGGTTCTTGATAGGTTCCAAAGGCGGATATGCAATATAATTGGCCCTGATCTGGCATCTCGTCTACAGACACTTTCTCACAGACACGCCGTCGCCTCTCTCTGTCTGTTTTACAAATACTTTCATGGCAATTGCTCCGAGGAGCTGCATTTGCTGGTTCCCAGACTTCATGAGTTCAAGCGCCCTACGAGGCTGGTATCCCACTCTCACCACTTCACTGTCGAAACTCCTAAATGTAGCCGTCTCTTCTATAATAGCTTCATGTCTCGCACCTCTCGCCTGTGGAACTCATTTCCCTATTCCAGTTTCCCTGAGAGCTATAATCTCCAACTATTCAAATGTAATGTCAATCGACATCTCCCGTTGCCTTGATCTATCCACTACTCTTCTCCTCATCCTTTCCTCTATCACTCCTACCTGATCTTGCACCAAATCTTCTGTAATCCATTTTGCGTCCTAGTGGCTCCCCGCCTTGCTTGGGGTGAAACGCTTAAAAAAAGAAAAAAAATAGTAATAGAAATATTAATAATGCGCGTGAAGTGGAAAGAGTAATCAGGATAGCGATTGACATTGCATTTAAATTTTTGCAGATTAATGTTGGCTGGAAAGCATGAAGCCAAAGGGGAGTTCCACAAGCGAGAAGTGCGAGAAAAGAAACTGTTAGCAGAGAACTTACAGGATGCATCTGGCTAGCTCAAATGTAAATTGATGAGATCTCGACGCCAGTCTAGTACTCTCCTTAAATTTGAAATGCCTATGCACCATAAGTAGCTGTCTTATTGTTTTCTTTTCCTTGATCTATCCACTATCCTTCTCCCCAACCTTTCCTCTATCACTCCTATCTGATCTTCCTCCAAATCTTCTGCAACCCCTTGCGATCAAGTGGGTTCCCGCCTTGCTTGGGGTGAAACGCTTAAAAAAAAACTTCACAAGAACGAATGACCCTGATCTTCAAATAGTAAAACACTAAATCCACTCCATCAAAAACTAAGTTGCACTCTTCAAGAAACAGCTTAATATACGTGAAACACTATTAACAAAAAGAAGAAAATACCATCTACGCCAAACGAGGACAAAAGAAAGCAAAAGAATTAGCTCAATGAAATTACGACAAAATTGGGAGGACAAAGTGTTGCATGGCAAATATCTACAAAGAACGAAAGCAGCAGATGTGAACCAACAGAAAACACATCTGGAGTACTGGGTTGAAAGCTGAGGCAGAAGGCCTAATTATTGCAGCCTTGAAAACAGATTCTATGATTGTCAAATAATCAAGGATTGAACTAACCCGAAAAGCAGGAGCTGCGGGAAATATGATGAAACTGTCAACGATATTATCTCAGGGTGTCCGGAACTAGCAAAAGAAAATGAATATAGCCACAGATATAACAAGGTAGCGACATATGTGCACTGGAAGATATGGAAGTAGCACAAAATCGAAACCACTGAGAGATAGCACTGGCACTAACCACACAGTTACCCAAAATAACGATGTAACTATCCTCTGGGTTATTCCAAATCAAACTGACATGGAAATAACAGCCAACAGACCTGATATAATCATAAAAGACATGAAAATCGGGAAGTGTATGTTTATTGAAAGAGCAGTACCATCTGAGAGAAACACCTAAATGAAAATTATCGAGAAATTGTCCAAATACAAGGACCTGAAGGTCGAGATTAACAAGATGTGAGGAATGAAGACTGAGATTGTACCGATAGTAATCAGAGCTCTGGGGCCGCGTGAGAAAAGGAAGGGATAATTTTACTAATAGTGTCCCAGGTAACATTAATATACAAGTTGCCGAGAAGATCGCCATACTAGGAACATCTCATATACTAAGAAAAGTGCTATCAATTAAACGGACCCGCCTTTACGGGATTCAAAAAGAAAACATAACATACACAAATAATATTAATAATAATAATAAGAAGAAGAAGAAGAAGAAGAAGAAGAATAAGAAGAAGACGAAGAAGAAGACGAAGAAGAAGACCTGTAACAAATTTATGGACACACAGACAAAACAATCAAAGCTAATCGCACAGATATTGCGATCAGAGACCGCAAAAATAAAATATGACTTCTTTTTGACATGACAATTCCTGCAGACAGTAATGCCATTTGGCAATCTATCAAAATACAAGGATCTTGAAATGGAAATCTCAAAAATGTGGCGCATGATGACATCAACAACTCCAGTTGTAGTTGAAGCCCTCGGATTGATTGAAAAAGATTCCAATAGAGTCAGGGAATGGATTCCTGGCAGTCCATGCCTTAAAGAAATACATTTTTTTTTTCTCAAAATTACAGTTCCACCTTACGAAGCGGTTTATCTATATAAATATGGGTGATGTTTTTTTTCAAAGCTACTCAATGAAAAAGGTCATGATGCCATTTCTGACTTGAAGTCTCTTGGAAATAAAATAATATTAATTAACCCATAATGTCAAAATATCTTTTTGCCTTTTATACATTGCAGATTTTCAATTTTAGGGAAAATAATAGGATTAAGGAAATATAACAATTGGATTAATGGACTGAATGAGTTCGGTATCCGAGATTATTAGGGGTTAATTAAACGAAAGAAGGCATGAAACGTACGATTTATTAAAAACAGAGAGTGACTCAAACCATTGGCGAATACTCTTTGGATAGTCATATGTTTCTGACTTTGTCCATATTTCAACTTTTTTGTATCTCACTCTCTTCATCTATCTATCTATTTATCTATCTATCTATCTATCTATCTATCCATCTATCTATCTATCTATCTATCACAAGCTCGTCTCTCTTTTACACACACAGATATATATATATATATATATATATATATATATATAGATAGATAGATAGATAGATAGATAGATATATTGATATCTGTCTGCCTGTCGTATGTATCTATCTATCCGCCTTTCTATTCATATCTATTTATCTATCTATCTCAGTCTTGTTGTATATATATATATATATATATATATATATATATATATATATATATATATATATATATAAGTATGGATGTATATCTGTTTGTATATTATCTTTATCCCTTTCTATTCATATCTACCTCACACTATTCATATATCTGTTCATATCTATCTATCTAGATAAAGATATACATATATATATTCGTGTATATATATATATATATATATATATATATATATATATATATATATATATATATATCTTAAAAAAACTAATCTTTTTTTTTCCAGGTTTTCAGCCATCTTAACACCATATTTCGTAAGAATCACTGAAAAATCCTTTAACTTATTCAGCGTTGAGTTTAGAAAGAGAACAGATGAAAATCATTTTGTGTCAAACCCACTATGTCTTCCCAACTGAGCAATTGTGAGAGGCAAAAGATCATTCACGCCTTCAGTAATGATATCAATATTTATACTCTAGCTTCCATGTTCAAATTCCTTCCAAGAACCATCAAGAGAACGGTGAATAGTTTTTAAAAAGAAAGAACTGTAGAAATGAAAAGCTGGATCGGGAGGTCAAAAAAGGAAAAGAGATCATCATTTGAACTTAGAGCCATTACAGTTCAAAGAGCAGTTCAAAAACACACTTGAAAATGAAATTATACGTAAAACATGTGAGTCACTTTGTTACTTCAGGATAAAAGGTCAGAAGGTTAGAGGGCGAAGATCATCTTGAATTCTAGTAAGATACCTTTAATCATTACTAATCAGAATGGATGAAAGCTTAATCTAACAATTGGACAATTGTTTTCGCTACACGATTTGGACAATTTTGCTGTTACACCCGGTATATGCTCATATCTATCTATCTATGTATCTATCTATCTATGTATCTACTTCATATATTTCATATTCATATCTATTTATGTGAGTCACTTTATATATGTCTACCTCACTATCTGTCATTTTATATATGTATCTATTCATATATATCTCTCTATCTATTTTAGTCTGTTTATCTATCTCAGTCTGTTTATCTGTCTACCTGCCTCTCTGTCTATGTTTATCTATCTATCTATCTATCTATCTATCTATCTATCTCAGTCTGTTTCTCTCTATCTGTCTATCTATCTCTGTTTATCTATCCATCTCAGTCTGTTTATCTCCCTCCTGTTTATCTATCTATCTATGTATATATTTCAGTCTGTTTATCTATCTTAGGCTCTTCATATATATATATATATATATATATATATATATATATGTATATATTGTCACGTAGCAACGATTTCATTAACCATATAGGCGTTAGGCTAAAGTAAAATCTTAAATAAAGAGAAAACTAGTTAGATATAAAAGAAAGATAAATAAATAGATAAAAACAGAAATTTAATCCAATGCTTCCGATTCGCGAGCGGATATATTCTATGATCAGCCATACCCCCCTTCTCTTTCACAAATTATTTCTCTCCTTATCCTCTCTTCCACTCACGAGCCAAGGGCCCGTGAACTTAGAAGTGACCCGACGCGAGGATGACCTGGTTCTAAGATTTCGCGTTTGACCATGAGTGAATTCCAGACACCATCAGGGTCTCCTGCTGCGATTCACGTGATCCGGGACGTACGGAGCATGCGTTGAACTTTTTATCACACAAGCACTGCGTGATTTGCGCCCTATTCTCCTGCGTACCCGGTCAAGGACGAAGGGAGCCCACGTGACTGTCTTTGGGGACAGCGAAAACCAAAGAAGGGTTTTTTACTTTCCCTCTAACCAGCGGCAGTTGAACGTCGCTGGGCAAAAAATCGTCAGACCGCCCACTGAGATGAGGAAGACCACGAAGTCTATCGACTAGTGATGGAAAGGCTGCTGTGGACTGATCAACCCAACCAAATGCCTGTATGAAATGCTGGGGACCCACGAACACACGCGAAAAGAAGAAGAATCCAGGAACATTGTCGGCCGGACAAGATACTGTTTTATCACCAGAACTCTCGCTTCGGCGAATCAAAACTTTATGTGAAGATATCAACCCGACTGCAAGATAAGTTGGTTCTTTTGGCTTGATCTGTTTTCATATATGTATGTATTCGCTCGCGCCTTCTATTCTTTAATGATGTCCACCCCCTTTGTTAAATGAATCTTCTTTTTTTTTTCTTTGTTTCGTTATATATATATTTATAAATAAATGTTTAATTTTGAAATCCATCGTCTTGTGTCTGTTCTTCGTTGATTCCCTTGTGTCGCTTCCATTTCTGAGTGAAGACCGAGAAAAGAAACCACGTTTTCCTTTTTTTTTTAGAACCCGTGGTTCATCTATATGCTACAAGTTCGTAACAATATATATATATATATATATATATATATATATATATATATATATATATATATATAAAAACCTAGTGATCCAGGTTAGTGAGCCTGGGTAGATTTGTCTGGCTCACTAGGTTTATCTAGGTCTGCTCTACGGTTGTATTGAGCTCTTTTGTTAGTTAGTTGTTTACTCGTGTCGGGTTTTTTTTTTTCTTTGGGCTTCAAACCTGTATCTGTGCGATTTTTTTTCGACAGACTTTCATGTTTCTAGCTCTTTCTTTTTTTAAACCTTTTATCCTTCGTGATTGATCTGATTATTGGCAAATCAAGAATTCGAAGGTTTTTCAGAAACGAGTATAGTTACCTATATATATATATATATATATATATATATATATATATATATATATATATATAGGGTGTGCAAAATAAAATTTGAATCATTACAACTTATTCAATTTATGTATTTTGACTTGTAAATAAGATTAAGAATACACATTTAAAGAATTTGAGAGTAAAATATACAAAAACATCGAAAATTAACTTTAATAAGATAAAAGCTACATGGGGCAATGGCAGAATGTTCATATAATGATGAGTTCACATCAAGTGCTCAAACTGGTTGCCGTTCTGTTCAATACACTTTTCATATCTTGAAGAAATAGACCTACAAACATCCAGTATAATTTCTTCTGGTATTTGAGCACATTCTTCTTTCAGCAATTGTTTCAGGTTTCCTGCCGTAAACTTTGTCTTTTAGAAACCCCCACAAAAAGAAATCCAAGGGTGTCAAATCTGATGATCTAGGTGGGTATTCAACTGTCTCCAATCCATCTGTTTTGCATATTTTCATCCATATAAGTTCTCACATCATGGTATGTATTATTAACTATTAATATTTAAAGAGTGTATACATTATTTTGGGACACCCTATATATATCTGTCCATATCTATCAATTTATATTTATCTAACTCTATTTTTTCATGGCATCTTTATATCCGTAGGTCAAAGAAATAAATGGAGAGCAAAAATGATTATGTTGCGCTGATCATTCTAGTGAAAAGATTCTGAATGTTTATCATGAAATAAATCTTATTACCCCTGAGTGGCGGCCACTTTAACAGAAAGACTATATTAAATTCCAAACCATAGGAAAGGTAACGGGAAACCACTACACTAACTTTTTTTCAAGTCCTCATGGAAATTCAGAAATAAAAAAAAAAAACGAAGCTATGGAGAGACTGACCGCATTCGGTCTGAAACTGTTATGGTCCGGTTCCTTGTACCACGGATGATAGTCCAAGGTTGAACCAATAAAGAAGAACTCGAATACGTATATGGAATAACACAGATATACTACAAACAGGAATATATACAGAGAAGTAGAAAGTGTTAGTACAAACAATCAGGTTTAGTAGTAATTGTCTGAACGCGACTCTGTTTCGGACTGCCTCTGATCGACTGACTGACTCGTTCGCTCTGACTGACAGACTCCTGACGGACTTAACTCCAGACTTCAGACTGAACTCCCTGCTTCCTTTTGAGGCGCAGTATTTATTACGTATGGGATAGTCCATTATGTTAGTATGGGTAATGTTCCATAACAGACACAAAAATTCCATTTCTAAAATATTTCCAGTGGCAAATTGAAATAATGGCTATCAACCAGAATATAACGTGCATTATGTATGCAATTATTGATCTTCAGCTTTTCCTAAGATTTAAATCGATTGTTCTTTTCTTTTTTTTCTTTTCACTGTTGTTATTGAAACATTTGACAAAGTGTATATGACTTCTATTAAAATAAGGACGAAGAGTAGACGCCATTGACGACAAAGTCATCGTTCCTTCCGACATCTTCAAAAGCCGGGGTTTTTAGAGAATAAAACTGTATAGTCTTTTACACTATTTATTATTATTTCTTGTGACTTTTTTTTATTTTCACGTGACGTATAATTGTCATATTTAATGATCAATTCAAAATTCAATCAAGATAATAGCTTCTTTCATTTTCGATTGCATAATCCTATCAAGCAGGCAATTTATTAATGTCACGGTTATAAAATACTTTTGCTTTGTGGGTAAATAAATCTGGTATTATTGAACCCCTTTTCTTCTCAGTGATGATTTAAAAAAAAAGAAGTCATATTCTGATAGATTATCATCATCATCATCATCAGCTGCCCGTGATATTCGACGAAGACACGAAACCAAACTCCCAGAAAGCAACATGATGCCGCCGCCTTCACTCCATCAGACTTATGATTCTATTTTCGTTGTACGCGCTGGATAAATAGCGACAAACTACGGTAGCCCTCCCTGATCAGTCTAGCACCATGTTCTATGGAAAACCGAAGCAGTACAATGTTTCGCATATTAACCATTTGAAGGGTTAACATTGAAGTCTTCAGCTATATTTAATCATTAACGGCCACCGTATGTCACAAAACTTAAATAGATACAGAGAGATAGAGGGAGAAAGAGAGATCGCTGTGAAGAGGCTTTAGTGTCATATAGGAAGAAAATGAGTAACTACCGACACGGGGGTTTGAACGTGACACTCTGGACTTATGAATATATGTTTTTCGCCAGCTGTATATATAGCGGTGTCAGGCTACTGACTGCAATGATTATTGAGTGACTAATGAGTGGAACTATCCAGTCGAATTAGTGTGAATTATTGTGCGTCTTTGATTTGGGTTTGATTTAGAATTTATTTGACGTTAAGCCGAGCTGCGCTATCAACATGACATTCAATGAAATGGTTATCTTTCGTTGACTTTTTTGTTCTTGTTAAGTATTTATTTACGGTTGTAATTAAATGCTGTTTTATTTTACCATTGAAATCTTGAGTTATACTTAATTATTAACGGCCACCGTACGTCACAAAACTTACAGGGATCGATAGAAAAAGAGAGAGAGAGAGATCTGTGAGGAGACATTAGTGTCATTTAGGAAGAAAATGAGTAACTACTGACAACGAGGTTCGAGCGTGACACTCTGGACTTATGAATATATTTTTTTCGCCAGCTGTATGAATAGCGTTCCTAAACAATTTGAACCCTTCTGCCTGAGCTCCCGAGTCAAAATTCTCAAATAATTGGTATATAATGTTTCACAAGGTAGATATAAAAAGAGTTACGAGTGTTTACCCACCGTTCAACCGGTAACTGAGCATTAAGTCATATTTCTCTACCACCGGTAAAGCGGTGGTCAGGGCTCAAAGGATTAATCAAATGCCGTTCAGTTGCATCCTAACAGTATTACGTTGGTTGGTTGGTTGGTTGGATGATTTTGTTTAGCGGCATATCAACACTTCTATGGGTTATTTCATGCCGAAATCCTATATCTCGTACGTAATTTTATGCTTTCAACTACAGATATTTTGTGCATAATGTCATAATTTCAGATTAAAGGTATGTTTTTTAGATATTTTCTGACGTACGATGGCCGCTAATAACTAAGTATAACTCAAGACTTTAATGTTAAGATAAAACAGTATTTAGTTAAAAAAATTACTACTTAACAAGAACAAAGAAGTAAAATCAACCAAAGATAATTAATCATTTCAGTGAATATTTTTGTTAGTAGCGCGGCTCAGTCTAACATCCGGTACATCCTGAATCAAAACCCAAATCATCGACGCACAATGATTCACACTAATTCGACTGGATAGTTCCACTCAAAAATCACTGTAGTCAGTAGCCTGACAGCTCTATATATACAGCTGGCGGAAAACATATATTCATAAGTACAGAGTTATACGCTCGAACCTCGTTGTCGGTAGTTACTCATTTTCTTCCTATATGACACTAAGGCCTTTCACAATCGTCTCTCTGTCTCTTTCTTTCATTCTTTCTTTTTTTCTTTATCTTTCTATCTATCAATCTATCCAAGTTTTGTGATGTACAGTGGTCGGTAATAATTAAGTATAACTCAAGACTGCAATGTAAAGATAAAACGGTATTTAATTACAACCGCAAATAAATTGTTAACAAGAACAAAGGAGTAAAAGTCAACCAAAGATAATTTAACAATTTCCATAAACTTGTTAATAGCACGGCTCGGTTTAGCGTTAAGTACATTCTAAATCAACACCCAAAACATCAACGCACTATAATATTCGACTGAATAGTTCAACTCAATAGTCACTCAATAATCACTGTAGTCAGTAGCCTGACACCGCTATTTATACACCTGGCGGAAAACATATATTCATAAGTCCAGAGTCTCACGCTCGAACCTCGGTGTCGGTAGTTACACATTTTCTTCCTATATGACACCAAAGCATCTTCACAGTTTTCTCTCTCTCTCTCTCTCTCTCTCTATCTATCTATCTATCTCTCTAAGTTTTGTGACGTACAGTGGCTGTTAATGATTAAGTATAACTCAAGTCTTCAATTTTAAAATAAAACAGTATTTACTTACAACCGCAAATAAAGACGTTAACAAGAACAACGAAGTAAAATCAATCAAAGATAATTAATCATTTCAGTGAATACCTTGTTAGTAGCTCGGCTCGGTGTAACGTCCACTAAAGCCTAAATCAAAACCCAAATCGTCGACACATTAATTCACACTAATCTGATTGGATATTTCCTCTAAATAGTCACCCTTTACCCATGTTGTTATAAATATGTACTGTTCATTTTTGTCTGGGGCTCCACTATTTGCCCATAGCTGGGATCCTAACAGGTGCTACCACTCCGGGCCAGGAGGAACCTGGGAACAACAGCAGCTAAGAGGTAGTTCAACACTGCTTAAAACCTCCAATCTTCTGATCAGAGACCTTGCTGCCTGATGAAGCTATCGTCCTTCTCAGGACGACCTGCATAGGTATCGCCCACAATTGGTTCTACTGGAGAACTCATCCGCCTACCGAAGAGAACAGTGATGGTCAAACCGTCTAATGCAGAGAGTGCAATCCAACAACCTGATGCCACTGGCTCTGCTGTATCCCTGGTAAGGAATAGCTTCGGGATGCTAAGACATTTCACATGATGGAGGGTAGAAGTTGGTTTACTTCTCCAATGGTGAGCTCCAATCAAAAGCTTGGTTTCAATCCGTGTGGCGAACGCGAGTGGCTAAAGACGCCAAAAGGGTCCTAGTCGTCGCATACGAACATGTCTTTCAACACCATTACGTCCGAGGTTTTCTTGTTAGCAGCACAACAGCTTGGCATGTCTATATATGGGTCTCTCTGCAAATGGTTAGATCCAGGTCTTTATAGGCTGCCTTTTGCTAATAAAAGTGACGGGAAATCCAGCATTCGTCAGCCGGCAGTTGGCATGATCCCGTGGGCATTTTGTTCCTAAAGTTACTGTGCCGCTCGCCGTGTTGTGTTAACACCCGTCCCTTTCCCTCATCTGCCTATTATCCACGTAGTTCTTGAGAGAGCAAATAGTTAGGTGTTTCCCCTAACCCCAACAACTCGCTGCTCAATCACAGAACATGGAAAACGGGAGAGTAATCTAAATGAGAAAACCTTTCTGTATATAAAGCCAAAATATTTTTCTTCTTTAAGTTTTGAAATAACTGGCCTTCCTTTGTAATGCAGGAGGACCACACCTTTTTCGATTGATCTGTAAAAAAACACTTTTAGAACAAAGACTAGTGCAGTTTATTTTATCATTTCACTCCACGCAAGCCGACTAAGTTACTATGACTCAATGGGCTGTCGACAGAGAAGTAAACTAATAAATAAATAAGATGGCAATAAAAGGATATAATTAATAAAAATACAAAAGATGACGTCTGACGTCGCATTTACATTTTTGAAGAAGTGAAAAGAAAACAAGAAGACAGCTAGTTATGGTGCATAGGCATTTCGAATTTAAGCACAGTACTAGACTGGATTCGAGATCTCATCAATTTACATTTGAGCTGGCCAGATGTAGCTGTAACTTCTATGTTAACAGTTTCTTTTCTCGCACTTCTCGCTTGTGGACCTCCCCCCTGGCTTCATGATTTCCAGCCAACATTAATCTGCAAAAATTTAAATGCAAGGTCAATCGCTATTCTGATTACTCTTTCCACTTCCTGCGCATTATTAATATTTCTATTCCTATTTCTTTTAAGCGTTTCACCCCAGGCAAGGACGGAAGCCACTAGGACGCAAGGGGTTACAGAAAATTTGGAGCAAGATCAGATAGGAGTGATAGAAGAAAGGATGAGGAGAAGGGTAGTGGATAGATCAAGGCAACTGGAGATGTCGATTGACATTACATTTGAATAGCTGGAGATTATAGCTCTCGGGGAAACTGGAATAGGGAAGGGAGTTCCACAGTCGAGAGGTGCGAGATATGAAGCTATTGGAGTAGAAGGGACGGCTACATTTAGGAGTTTCGATAGTGAAGGGTGAGAGCGGGATGCCAGCCTCGTAGGGCGCTTGAATTCATGACGTCTGGGAACCAGCGAATGCAGTTCCTCGGAGAAATTGCCATGAAAGTATTTCTAAAACAGACAGAGAGAGGCGACGGCGCGTCTTTGAGAAAGTGACTGTAGACGAGATGCCAGATCAGGGCCAATTATATTGCATATCCGCCTCTGGAGCCTATCAAGAACCCCGAGGCAAACAGAAGGGATTTCAGACCATATATGGCAGCAATACTCCATGCAAGGGCGAATTGTTGATTTGTAGACCTGGAGGATCGATTCCGGGGAGAAAAATTTCTTGGCGCGATTCCACACCCTGTATACCCTTGTGTCTTAGTGGCTTTATTACCTTGCATGGGGTGATACCGATTAAAAAAATAGAAGATATTTCAATAAACGAATAGTCCAAGAAAGTGACCTATCAGCGTAGAACACCCAGTTGCATCTATCAATTTCAAATTCAACAGTAAAATAGTGAGTTGGTTGTTAGTTGATTTTGTTTAGCGGCATATCAACACCGCTATGGGTTATTTAATGCCAAAATCTAAATATATTGCAAACTTTTTTATGGCTTCAACTAAATATATTTTGAACGCAATTGTATACCTTAAACTGAAGATAAAATGTATTGTTGGTCATTTTGCTATAAAATGTATTGTTGCTATTTTTTAAAATGTATTTATTGTAACCTACAAAGGGTTATTGAATGAGGAATAACCAAAAAAGTGGTTGGAAATGAAATGGTAATCTTTATAACATCAACAAAATACAAAACTCGCCAGCGGCATGAAGTACGTAAACCACTGGTATAGGTGGACTACTGGGACAGCATATTACTCCCACTTACAATAGTGTCCAATGTATTTTTGAGAATTGGGACATACCCATTATTTTCCATTATTACAGTATATAACATTTATTAAGGAGAGAGAACAATAAATGTACACTATTGTAATTTGGTCTCTCAACAAAGGAATTCGCATGATACAATACATGATAATATGTTTTATAAGTGAAAATTTGGGTGTCGCACAATACACAAGATCGCGTGTTACATGAGTATATTGGTTATAAGGAGTTGTTATGGGGTCAAGATGAAGGATGATTGAATCTCAAAGATTGCATGGTGAGATGGCCAAGAGAAAAAGACCAGTTCACAAACCAAAATTTAGGTGTAAATACTGCATCAAGAACATAATGGAAAAGGCCAACATCTTCGAAAATGATTGGGAAAAGCTTTTTTTTTAATCAATTTTCCTGTACCAAGGCAATAAAGAATGAATGTGAAAGAATATAAGAAAAAGAAAACATTATTGTTGTAACCTAGAATGAGGAATAACCAAAACGGAGGTTGGAAATGAAATGGTAATCTTTATAACATCACCAAAATACAATACTCGCCAGCGGCGTGAAGTAGGTAAACCACTGCTAATGGTGGACTACTTAGACATCATATTACCTATTGTCCAACGTATTTATGAGGATTGAGACATAACTATTAACGTTCATAGGTATGGTATATAACAGTAGAGCTGGTACTTTTTCTATAAAAATATGTTTTTATATTGCGTTTGTGTTTTTGCTGAGAGGGGGGCTTCACTATTTGCCCATCGTTGGAAGCCTAACAGGTATTAACATCCCCTAAAATGGTGAGACTTAGCTGCCAATTAGTACTATCATTCAATTCATGAAGCGGGGGTATCAAACAGAAAAGTCCATCAGAACAATTGCAACTAAAATTAAGCCGCTTCTTATTCGACCAATAACGGAGCATTGTCTCCTAAGTGCACGTTACTTGCTGTTGTAACATCGAAATGGTTACCGAATGAGGAATAACAAAAACGGAGGTTGGAAATGAAATGGTATTCTTTATAACATCAACAAAATACAATACTCGCCAGCAGCGTGAAGTAGGTAAACCACTGCTAGTGGTGCACTACTTAGACAGCATATTACCCCCACTTGCATTAGTGTCAAACGTATTTATGAGGATTGCGACATACCCATTAATGTTCATAGGTACATAGGTATATAACAATAGTAAAAATCATTTGCAATGCATTTTTATAGTAAAAACCATTTGCAATGCATTTTTACAGTAAAAATCATTTCAGTGCATTTTTATAGTAAAATCATTTTCTATGCATTTTTATAGTAAAAATCATTTGCAATACATTTATACTAAAATCATTCGCAATGCATTTTTATTGTAAAAATCATTCGCAGTGGATTTTTATAATAAAAATCATTTGCAATGTATTTTTATACTAAAACCATTTGCATTGTATTTTCATAGTAAATATCATTTACAATGCAATTTTAGAGTAAAAATCATTTTTAATGTATTTTATACTAAAATCATTTCCAATGCTTTTTTATAGTAAAAATCATTTGCAATGGATTTTATACTAAAATCATTTGCGATGCTTTTTTATAGTAAAAATCATTTGCAATGTATTTTTTTATAGTTGTAAGCCAGAAATGGTTACTGAATAAGGAATAACCAAAACGGACGTTGGAAATGAAATGGTAATCTTTATAACATCAACAAAATACAATGCTCGTCAGTAAGGTGAAGTAAGTAAACCACTGCTAGTTGTGGACTGGTAAGAGAGCATATTGTCCCCACTTACAATAGTGTCCAACATATTTATGAGGATTGGGACCATACCCATTAATGTTCATAGGTATGGTATATAACAATAGTAAAAGATCATTTCCAATGCATTTTAACGTAAATTTTTTTTTCTATGCAGTTCCATAGTAAAAATCATTTGCAACGTATTATTATAGTAAAAATCATTTGCAATGCATTTTTATAGTAAAAATCATTTGTAATGCATTTTTATTGTAATAAATCATGTGTAATGCATTTTTATTGTAAAAATCATTTGTAAAGCATTTTTATAGTAAAATCATATGTAATGTATTTTTATAGTAAAATCATTTTTAATGTATTCTTATAGTTGTTGTT